CCAGAGTTGGGCTATCTTGAAGGAATCATTCTATGATCCTTGTTGAACTTAGGTTTCAGTTCGGGATGCAAAATCCAGCACCTCTCCTCTACGTGACCTACAATGTCACAGTAACTGCACTTCAAGTGTGGATTTTTACTCTTGTAAGGCCTGCTATTTGTGGATTTTTACACAGTAACTGCACTTCAAGTGTGAATTGACATTGGATATTAGGATACGACAATTAGTGGTGGAATCAAAGCCTTAAGAGTTTTCTTACATTTGTTTTCAACCATATTTCTGCTTATTCATTGTGTAGGTTTAAATTTTCTTCGATACAAATCCAATCTTTATTTCAATTCATTAAGTAATAGTTATAGACTCAATTGGTAATTCAACCCCGGTGGATTCGATCTAGTATTTACAAATTTCTACCATAACTGATTCGTGCACTTGCGATTAAATTTAGTTTGAATTAATCTATTTACTAGGTTGGTTTAAATTCACATCACTAGCCATAGTTTTGCTTTAGATCACTCGCTTTCCATTCTACACTAGGTAAAATTTATCTTTTTAATTATTTTTTGTAATTCGCTTTAATTTCATGTTTGCATTGCACTTCAATTCAATGATTTAAAGTCTATATCACCATTTTAATTTTGTAATTTCGACTTATTTTCCACCTCGCACTTCAAATTTTAATTTAGATTATTATAGTTTACATTTGAGTTCCTTTTCAAATCAATCCCCACAACCAGTTCGCTCAGATTGATACGATTCATCATAAACACTCAGGTCACCTACAAAACCCCGATAACCAAATCCACTATCCATTCATTATATCTATCACATGCAAGTATCTCGACCTACCGATTTCTCGCCCATCACAAAAACATACGAATTCACACATCATGTAACAAGACCCATCAAAGTCCTTGCACATAAGGCACAGGGATCCACGACCAAGACGCGTTCCTTCCTCAATATGCACAATGGTTTTGAAAGAAGTCAAACAAAGCGCCAATTACATTTTACTCAATTGGCCTCCAAGCTATGAGTTAGCATGCTTGCAACACAAACTTGAAGGACCAAGAGATTTTGAAATCCTCAGCTCTGCAATTGAGATCGATTTTGAGACTAACATCTATTGGCACGCCCTTTGAGACTGGACACACTATTGTTATATGTCGAAAGACATGAAAATTCGGCTTTCATGAATGCCTAAGAAATTTAATGCTAAAATTAAAGGTGGGTTCAATTCATTTGGTTCGGTTGTTTGCCAAAACTGAAAAACCAAATGGAAATTATTTTTCGGTTTGGATCGATTTTGTTTTCTTCGGTTCTTTTCTTGGTTTGGTTTGTTTTCAGTTCCATTTGGTTTCAGTTCAATTTTGATATTTTTTAACAAATTTGAAAATTGGTTTAAAAAATAAAAAATAAAATATGAAAAATCATAGCAAGGAGGATGAGAGAAGTATGTGCTATAAACTTCGATGTGGTTCTCCAAGTTTGCAAAAATACCGTCGCACAAGAGTTGATTAAGAAGTTGTCCAAGCAGATGGACTAGGATTCTCTCTCCTCTTCTTTCCATCCCCTCCTCTCACACTCTTTATTTTGCCTTTATTTTTCTATAAAAAATTAATACAAGATATTGACGTGGCTTAACCGTGACCGTTCAAATAGGAGGAGAGAGAATGAGAGGACAAAAAGAGGGGAAAGAACCCTAATCCCCAAGCAGATGAGGCAAGACAGGCGCATCCCCACTTGATCCGTGTGAGGAGAAATTTTTAGGTGTGCCGGGAACACCATGCCACGTGGTGTTCCCTCACACATAAAAATTTAGTTTTATTTTTTTATTGAAATAAAAAATTGAAGTATATTCAAAATGTCAAATTTTTATGTGTGAGGGAACACCACGTGGCATGGTGTTCCCGGCACACCTAAAAATTTCTCCCGTGTGAGGGCTGACAACACAATCAAGTACAATGCAAAACGTAAGCACTGATGTCACGCCAAACTCAGACTCTAAGGTGCTTTGGTACAGAGCCTTATAAGAAAACTTGTAAAATGACGTTGTTTTAAGACAACTGGTTTAGCTTTCAAATCGCTAAAATCGAAATTGAAGTACTTAAGTTCGATTCGGTTTTCTAATTCAGTTCGGTTTTTTTATTCATTTTTATTCAACTTTAGTTCAATTTATTTTAATTTTTTTATTTTTTGAATCCACCCTAGTTCAAGTAAAAAAAAAAAGTAATAATTACATTTCATCTAAATTAAGAAAAATAATCCAAACTTCTAAATCACGCCCCGACCAAATCTCCTTCGTTGCTAGTCTCCCACTTAACACCGGGTGCTGCTAGGGAGACCAAATTTGATACGCCCCGACCCCGATATTCTTAAATACCAGGATAGGCACGTGTTGGCCAACACCCAAAAGTGACGAAGCCATTTTAATATGCATGTAAGTGATAACGGTAAACGAAAGTAAGTAAAATATGTAAATATAAAGAAGTAAGCAAATGCGAAAAACGTGTTCAGAGCATACAACTAATCAAGAATAACGTGAAAGAATTATTATAAAAATGTACGAACAAAGGAATGAGTCCTACACTGGGAAGACTTGAATATACCTGTGCGAGAGTGCCCTAACGCCGAAATCGTACGCCTCGATTCTAAATCCTGAAGGGGCGCAAAACAAAGTGTGAGTGAACCAAAGTTTATAATATAATAATAAATAAAATCGTTTTTCTTTTGAACATACTTACCCCCTGTTTTGAAAAGCTCATATAATATTACATAATATGTTTGTAGGCATGTAAATTTCATTGCATACAAATGATGCATCACAAGGCTCCATGTGGCATATAACTCATCACAAATGGACAAGTCATCAATGACATGTGGCACAAATCAAGCTAAGGAAATGTAAAACATTCCTAAAATTCGGCAAAAGGGAGAAAATCCCTCTTAAAATTGGCAAGGGGCCCAAATTGCTCTCAAAACCGGAAAGAAAGTTAAAGCATCTTCATAAAACAAGCAAGAATTGAAGATTGCTCAAAAAATAGGCAATAATAAGGCCTATAAATTTCGGCCAATATGAGGAAGGTGGCTGAAATTAAGACACAAAACATGCATAAATTCTCCCATGGACGAATCAAGACACAAATCAAGGTCAAATCCATCCAAAGGCATGGCTTTGGAAGTCTTTAAATACAAGGACCCAAGACACACAAAGGGGTCGAAATTTCTACATTCAAAAGAACCTCTGCACAAATCTTTAAAGACTAACACGCTGCCAAAGCTCTCTTCGAAGAACACGCAACCAAAACTGAAGCTTTCTTTCGACCAAAACTGAAGCATTCCCTTGAAGAATCAACAAGCACTTGTGCCGATTCCTTCAAGACTTTGTTGCAAGCTCAAAACTTGTAACGACGTTCGATTCAAGATCAAGTCGCCAAGACCCTTGAATCAACAAAGTCCTACATCAACTCTACCTTTGCCGCAACCTTAAACCTGAGGTGAAGACTACCCACGCATTGTTTCAAGCTCAAAACTTGAAGCAATTGTTCAATCGTTCGTCCTAAATCAAGTCATCGTGACCCTTGGATCAACAACCTACGCATCTACATCAAATTTGAAAACTGAATCAGAGGAAAAGTTGTAAACAGAAATTGTAACTTACAAATTCAAATCAATACAAATCTACTTTGTACACGTGTTCTCATTTCATTCGATACAGAATTTTCATGTTTACAATGTTTTCTAAAAAACTCTACATGTTATGAAAACGTTCGAATGATAAGATCAATAAAGTACTCAAACTAACAAACTAATCCCCTCCCAAACTAGCTCTAGCCCATTCGGGCAATTGGGCTAAAGGGGAGCCCGTGGAAGATGGCAGGTGGGAGTCCAAGGCTCGAGCGCCTGAGTTTATAACTAATGCAAGGCTAATATCAGCATGACGTCAGCCACATTCTAAAAATATTTGCGCCAAGCACGTGGCTAACAAGTGCACGTGGGGGTGCGTCGACACATTTTCAGATGTTGGGACCCGCATGTCAGCCCCACTCAGTTACCTTTGAATATGGGCCTTTGATTTCCAAATCAATGGTCCAAGTTTTTAGACTTTAAAAATTAAAAAAAAAAAAAAACAATGGAAAAAAACCATAAATGTTATGGTGGGCCACGTGTCACATTCTGGACGGTTGGATTTCAATTTTTATTTTTTGTAATCCAACGGTCCAAATTAATTAAGTTAATAAATTAAAAAAATATATTAAAGCTCCCAAAAATTTCAATATATATATATATATTATAAATACCTTAACATTTTCTCCACTTTACACCACATTTCAATATTTTCAACAATTCTAAACAATTAAGAATATGTCGCGTGACAGAATTGGTTAAAAATCTTATCGTAATCTATCTACAAAAATTTTACTTTTGGATAATGACACATAGCGTGACAAGATTGGTTAAAAATACTATTCAAAATTTAAAATTAATTTTTATTATTTTATAAAATAAAAAATACTAATATTTTGTTAATTATTGCAATGGCTATTTTGTTTAAGAATGAAGATGCAAAAGACAATTACTGTTCATTGAAGATAATTACTATTCAATGGAGGGGATTCAATTGCCAATTGCTAGGTGTGCCTTCCTACACTGGAAGTGCTCTCAAAGCATCCCCAATGGGGGCTTTATCCTCCTTCAGGCTACCACATTTGTAGCTCTAATGAAAATTTTCATTTCCAATGGGCTGGAAATTGGGGTTACATCTATCACATGGGCTAGCAATTTCAATTCTTGGGAAGCAAAAAGTTAGGCTACATCTAGCCCCAAAAAGTAGGGTGACCCACACCAAATTGAGGGCCCAATCTTGTAAATAAATTTACCACGTAATCAAATTACTTATAAATAAAATGTATAACCTCATATAGAACCAAAAAGATGTGTAGCTCCTAATTAAGAGAGATTTTTTTTAGAGCTCCAAAGATCTCCCAGAGCTCACTTTATCTACCACTTTTCTAGCCCCCTGTACAGAGCCCCTCGTTTGGGATGCCTCTCACAGACAACAAAGCTCAACATGGCTTTACTTCGTCATCTCTCTTTCCCCACTTAACAACTCCTCCCTCTCACACTCCGACCACTCTTCTCTCTCCACCTCTCTTTGCTCCCCCCCTCTCTCTCCCAAACCCACACTTGTTCCTCCTCCTTCAGGGCCAAAAAGCTCGGAATTTCGTCCTTCAATTCTCCGCCGCCGCCCAAGACCAAGTTCTCGACGAAACCCCAGTACTCGAGGCGGAGCCCCTAGAGTTCTCCGACACAAGACTGCTTGCCCAGAATGTTCCATGGCATTGCACCCCGGAAGACATCCGTACTGTGTTCGAGAAGTACGGCACCGTCTTCGACGTTGAGGTTGTCATTTTTCTCTGGTTTGAAGGAGAATTATTTTTTTTGGGTATTAATAATTTGTGATTTTATTTGATGGGTTTTGATTGTTCTTGTCTTTTTTTTTTTTTTTTTAAATTTTTGTGGTGTTGTTAGCTTGCCATGTATGACAAGACCAGGAACAGGGGTTTGGCATTTGTAACATTGGGTTCGCCCGAGGAGGCTCGTACGGCTCTGGATAATCTCGAATCGTCTGTAATTATATTCGGTTCTGTTATCTTATGTGAATGCTTGTGTTGTTGTAAGTTTAGTTTTATGCTTGGTTTGGTCAGTTAGAAAGACTACTAGTTGGGAAGTGAAATGAAATTTGGGAATTTTATAGTTTTTCGCTGTATGAGAGGTAGCGTTCTACTATTCTACTTGACTACTATTTTGTGTTTGTTTCGTTCGTATTGGAAATTCGTTGCTCTCCAAAAATATAAGAAGAGAATTACTTTGGAGCTGAATTTATTGGTGAAATTCACTAGTATGCCTTCGACTTTAAGTTTAACCTCTGTTCCGTATTAGGCCCTTTATCTGGGAATGCAATTATTCATCTAATTGGAGGTGGCACATGAGTACTAATTTGTTATCTTATTCCTAGAAGGGAGGTCTACTGTTTCATCTCTTCATTTGTAGATGATTAAAGTCATGCATTCAGTAACCGAGAGAGCACAAATGACAATCTCTAAGAGGCGTCCGACACCTCCAGAAACCAGTTAACTCCGTCATCATCGTCATCAATTCATTCCAAGACATCTATACGCCCTCATCCTTTCTCACGGCGTCATTATTTAGCATCATACCCTATCACACACTTACTTCTTTACCTTCTTCCACCTCTTCCATTGGTTTGTGATCTTCTTACCTTTGTTGAACATACCTTCAATTTGTGTTCAACCTGCAGAGCTACTCCAACATCAAATAACAAGGGATTGAGCTGGAACTATGGTATACGGTACTTCTACTGTGCACATTTTAGTTTTTACTATTTGTGGAGGTTGTGAAGGTTTCCTCATCCACTGGGTTTGTTCCTGTTCTTGTACTGAGACTTTTTGGTTGTAGGAGAGTCACAAATTGGCAAATTTTGAAAACAGGAGAAAGCAAGAGAGGATTTAACATGAAGTTCTAAGGAGATGAGAAGAGATATATGTTTGAATGGAATGATAGGGTGGTGAAGACTAGAAGATGTTTTAGGGAAAGGGAGAGGGAAGTAGTCAATGGAGGTAGTGCTGCCACCGTTTTCTCAATATTTGAGAAAATTTTCAACCTTCGCTTCTTTCCGTGATCTGTCCTCACCTGATTTTTCCTGGAATACTCTGTATTGTATAATGATATCCCATACTTGTGATGTGTATGCATCAAAATATCGTAGAATGATTTCCCATATTTATGATGTATGCATTGCTTTTTGAAGAAAACAAAGTCCTAGATGTGGAGAACAAAAGATTACGGAGGCTATACCAGAAGGAAAGAAATCATTCTGCGTCTGGTGGAAAACATATCGACAATGCATCAGCAAATATGAGACAATGGGCAAATAACAGCTTTGACCCGTTTGTTGTATGTGTTAATCTGCTCTAACATATGAATTGTTTCTCCGTTGCAGTCAAATAAGCGCAAATCAAGCTCTAACATAAGCAGCCCAATTCAAGTGAAGATTGATTTTAGTGAGCAAGAAGCAGCAAGACAGCCCCTATCACCCTTGCGCTCTAACTCCCCTAACTATAGAACCTATAAGAAGTAGTAAATTTTTTTTTTTTTTCAAACAGTCCCATTTCACTTCCAGGAACAACAAACTTGCATCCTAAACGAGGACGTTCTGTACTCGTGCAAACTTGCATCTCCACCCGCTTGAAACACACAGCAAAAAGTTTATTCACGTCTAGACGAGCTGATTCCAATGCCTCGCAATTGTAAGCTTCAACACAGGATATTGTAGAAGGAAGCTCTGGGATTAATGTTTGAAGACTGTCGCATCCAGACACACCAAGGTATTCAAGTTTGGAAAGTTGACAAATACTCATGGGTAAGCTAGAAAAATCATTTCCACCTAGATCCAAATACCTTAATGAGGATAGGCACCCGATATCATTTGGAATTCCTCCTTCCAAAATATTGCAGTTACTTAGACTCAAGTGCGTTAAAGATTGCAAACCAGATAAAGAAGGCAACCGCAAATGTCCGGGACTTGGACTACTTTTTCGAAAGGAAGGTGGTGGTTCTGATATAGCAGTTTCACGCACATCAAGCCGTTCCAAACTCTCAACATGGCCCAAGTCTTCTGGCAATTTTTCAATCCTCGAGCAAGACAAAACATTAAGATCTTCCAGACTTGGAAGACCCGCAAGGTTTTTGCAACCATACAAGTTCAAAACCTTAAGTTTTTCAAGCGTCCCCAGAGATTGGTCAACTTCACACAAACCGATGCAAAATACAAGATATAAATGCTCAAGATTTGGCATACCTCTGAAGTCTGGGGTTTCCACAAGATAACTACAGAAAGCAAGATCAAGGATCTTCAAATTGTATGAATGCTGTTAACAAGTAAAAACATAGCAAAATTAGCTTCGCACGATCATAATGTAGGCAATAAAAATCAATGAGTGAGAGAAGTACCTTTATTCGCTTCCAAAAATGTTCAAGGTGACTATACCGCATGTGAAGTTCCACTAGATGCTTTGGACAGAAAGATGACGGCAAACTTTTTAGAGGAAAGTAGTTCCATGCAAGAAACCGTAAACTATTGGGAAGATATTCAAGCCCGTCAGAGAGGTTCGCATTATCTAGCCTGAGGTATCTCAGCTTTTTCATCATTGAAAAGGATTTAGCATTGACGTCGGCTTGGACTGCTTCTAGATCATATGGGGCCATGATTATACCTTCAATTGTTTCTGTTCCCTAGTCAACATGAATATATTCTAGGTCATAACATAAGCAAAGCGGTAACTAGTACAACACCATGTTGTATACAAGACATAATAGCAACTAGAATCAAATTTATTATTGTAATAAAAGCCACTTACTATATTTTCGCTCAGGACACGATGGATGTCATCTCTACGCCACAACCTGCTACGCTTGCCTGGATCATCAGGAGATTCTAGGCGGACAATTTCTCGACCCATTTCTTGGAGTAAATCATGCATTAATAGCTGACCAGTTGAACTAATAGTTAAGAGAGATTGCTCAACAAGGACGTCTATTCCAATATGTGCATAAAAACCGCTAGCTTCAAGAAGCTCTGTTACTCGATCTTTCGCCCATCCACTAAAGAAACATGCAATGTCTAGAAAAATTTTCCTCTCATCGCCATCTAGACCATTGTAGCTTATTTTAAGTGTCTCAAAAACTTCTGAATTACAATTTTCTCTTAGTTTATCCAATGCACTGTTCCATGCACTTAAACTTCTTCCGTGCAGAAAAGATCCCAAAACTTTAAGAGCTAGTGGAAGACCCTTGGCATAATGGACCACACTATTTGACAAATCAACAAAACTTGGTTCAGGGCAATCTTTCTTAAAGGCATTCCAGCTAAAAAGTAGAAGAGAGTCATCGTTATTGAGTACTTCAACCTCAAACCGTCTCTCCACTCCGTGTTTAACTAACAAACGCTCATCTCTAGTTGTAATGAGAACTCTGCTCCCCGATTTAAACCACTCTTGATTTCCAGCCAAATATTCTAATTGATGCAAATGGTTCACATCATCAAGAATTAAAAGAACCTTTTTGTCACTTAGAAACCTGCATATCATTGCTGCTCCTTCATGAACCTCCCATATGTCATCCTTTTTATCCATGCCGATTTTACAAAGAAGTTGCTTTTGCAGGTAAGGTATGCCACCTTTTTCGACATTACTTCTAACATCAGCTAGAAATATTTGGAATTCAAACTCATGAGAGATTCTCTCGTACACAACTCTTGCAATAGCTGTCTTTCCAATGCCGCCCATCCCCCATATCCCAATAAAGCAACCATCATTCACCGTTGCATCTAAACACAAATCAATAATTGGTTTCGACCTTGAATCGATTGCAACAAACTCGCCCACATGAAATAATAAGGTTGGGCGCAACTTTTTCCATACCACTTGAACAATATCCTTAACAAGTTTTGATTCAGACCTATGGAAACGAATGGAGTTAGATATATAAGTTCCGAAATGTTTTCACTAATTTTTGCATTGAGTCAAGCCAAAGAGCAATAATCACACGCCATTATATGATGTGCATTGTATAAGTAGTATCGAACTAAAGGTGAATTCTTTTAATGGCATTTGTAGTTGCAGGTTGGTCATCTTTCCTATGTCCATTGTAATTTGTGATATAATTGGCTCTGTTTCTATTCCTCCAACAGAAGTCACACTGGGGGTGTGTGTGTGTTTGTGTGTGTACGTGTGTGTGTGGGTGGGTGTGGGTGTTGGTGTGTGTCATTAAATAAGGAGGAAACAGAAAAATCAAAACGTTACCAGTCCTTTGAATCCCACCCAGAGAAATTTGCCACTTTCGTTAAAGCATTTCTCCAACTTTCCACCTCCTTTTCGGCAACCCGAGGGTTGTTTCCATGTTTAATGAAGGCTTTTGCAAAATGTCCTGCTTGCTTTCGTACATCAGAGGGATCAACATTATAAAAAATTGGTAGCACTGCGTCTCTTGCTTCCATGCATTTAAGAATATGTAAAAGTTCAATCAAGCACCATGCTGATGATGCATAATCTTCCGAGAGAACAATGAGTGCAAATCTTGATTGTTCAATTGCAGTAACAAGTTCTCGAGAAAGAGATTTCCCTTTTTGAAGTTCAGGGTCATCCATAAAAGTTATTATTCCATGACCTTCCAATGCAGTGTGTAAGTGGCCTGTGAATCCCCTTCTAGTGTCTTCGCCTCTAAAACTCAAAAATACATCATATTTCCATTGAGGAGTAGAAGGGGGGAAAGATGCACAGGAAGCTCTGAACCGCTTCCGAGTGTGATCACCTCTAAAACTCAAAAAGGATTCAGGTTTCCATGGACGAGTTGAATGGTGTGGATATGTGCAGGAAGCTGTGAAACCCTTGCGGGCACCATCACCTCTAAAACTCGGGAAGACACCATATTTCCATTGAGTAGTTGAAGTAGGGAAAGGTATAAAGGTTCCTCCCATGCTCATCACAACAGTACTCCCAAAAGGTTTCATCATCATTTTAAGACTTGGAAGAGAAGTTTTCCTTTTCTTCTGTTATGTGGTTTCTCTACTGCAGAAAACGGAAAATATCAATGAAGCTTTACAAATACACTACGAAGTGACAAACATCCGTTGTTTTCTATCTTTTTATTGTTGTTTGTGTCTTGGATTCATCTTGTTTGGAATACACTAGAAAGATCACACTCAGACACATGATCATGTTAGATATTAGTGCCTGTTTAACAGTACAAAATCAACAAAATTAGAAACGAAGGAGCAAAAAATAGCTAGGATTTGGAAAAG